ATTCAACTCATAGTATAGGTACCTATATACTCTTAGCAGTTACCAATATATACCTAGTTTACACGCTAAATACATATGTTATAAATAGGCACACGAAAAAAAGACTTCCAATAATATAGATGTAGTATACGTATACGGTATACCGTATATGGTATGCCCACCTCTTACGTATTTTACCTAAATGGAATAATACCATAATATTATCAATTATTATTTTTACCTACGATCGTAAAGGGATCGGGATTTATAAGCATTGGAGTGTTATTTTTGTAGCATTGATATGAAACCTAACTTATAAAATACCCATAATGTCCAGGAATCACCTCACTGCACCAGTTATACTGGTACAAAAAATGTATTTTATTTTGTTTATACTTTGAGTAATTATAATTTATAATTGTTTATTTTATCATGTTCTTATTAGATATTAAAACAAAAAGAACAGTTTAATGTATTTTAAATTGCAGCGTATAAATCCCAATTCTATAATTATTATGATATGATTGGTATTTAAACCTCACCATTAGTATACGAGTCTGGATCTATAATTGGATAAAATATATATTTTAAAATTATCGTGAGTTATTATATTACTCTCAAGTATTATTAGCGCCGATAATGCTATTTTCAAAAGTGGGCAAATAATGAAAATAAATATGAACTTCCGTTAGTTAAGTCCACTTTCAGAACATTAAGCTATAAGTTTAAATAGTTACTGCAAATAATATTATATTAGCTCTTTATGTTTAAATAATAAATGTTAATAATAGGGCACATTTATCTAACTGAATTAAGAATAATAAATGGTTTTTAGTGACAAACTGATGAATATTAGAATGATTGTACAACTTTGACACTTTTTAAATAACTAACCATTTTATTAAAAATGCATCATACTAAATTCCTTGTTATCGTACATCATAATATACTGTATAGTGGTGTAGTGGTTTAGTCTAGTTATTATATGTTTGTGTGTCGTGTCTACTATAACTTATTAAGTACTCCAGAAATATTTAAATGCTTACTTTTATTTAAATTCACTGTTTACAGCATGATTAAAGAAGCAATAACTAATTAATTTGTTTTAACTTTACAGTAATTATATATTTGTATATAAAGTATAAACAATAAACATGGTATTAAAAACATGGCTTTTAATAATTAACATTTTTCTAACTAACTGAAAAATCCAAGTTATTATTTTATGGTCAATTCGTCAAATAAAGTTATTAATCAACTGGGTAGTTAAGATAACAACTAAAAAGTTTAAAAAAATTAACTTTTTCACGAATTAATTTTTTTAGACACCCACTTTTTGGTATTTGCGTTTTATATCATATAATAATAATAACCGAAAACAATTATTCAATAAACCTATATCGCGGTGTAGTCTGGAATGGTTCCAGCAAGAGGTAGGTAATCAATTATTATTTTTCGTCGAATTTAATAGCCATTAAAAAATAAATAAATCACTTTATTTTCGAGAGAGGTGTATATAATTAAACGAAAGTTTTAATTTTAATTTTTTTTTCTTCTCTTGCGTTAAGCGTATATAGTAACAACGGTAGCGCGTGCGTGCATAGGATGTTGGATCCAATTTGTGACTGAGCTAGGGAACCAATTACGGTCAGAGACCGGTAATTAGAAACGCTTGACAAATTACGTGTCTCACGTTCCTCGATGATAAATGACACACTGGGCTAGTCTGGGACCGGAGAAGTTGAAATAAAAAAACAAAAAAAAAAAATATATATATAAAACAAATAAATAATGTATTAAATGTCGCACGCGATGAGCCAATAACGAAATCTGTTTGGCGACAATTATATAATACTGAACAGAAAACAATAAATTGCCGTGTATGGCCGATGCAGCCGACAAAATATAAAACCGTTATTATAATGTATTAACTGTACCTATGACAATAATATTATTAGTATTATTCATTTCGAACGTTTTGCACAAGAACATTTTAATACTTAATAATAATAATGGGTTTGGCTGCTGCAGGTTCGTGGCAAAATAAAATTTTTACACAACGCGATGTGGATTATGAGAAATGTATAGTTATTATTTTTTAATAACAATCGTACAACACAACACTATGCCATTAAATGATAATATAAATATATTTACTAAAGCTGCACCAGGTTTTACGATTATATAATATATAGCTACCGAGTGGTGCATGAGCGTTCCGCGTTCACCTGTTGTTAGTCTTGTACCCATACAAATGGCAGAATAATAACGCGATGTTTCCGGTACGCCGGGGTTTATTTTTAGACGCCACGCAAATTGGCTGCAGCGACATCTATATTACGCTCTAATTAATGATGTACAAAGTTTTTCCCCTTACAACCATTGGTCTGAAAAACCCCAGGTCGCGGCAAAAGACGGTGCCCGGTTCCGCGGCGGGTGGGAATAACTATTATTAATAATATAATAATAAATGGCGGCCGAACGTTTTTTGTGATGCGGAAAATTCTTGTTTAATGAGCAAAGAGAAAAAACGTCTGACTATACGGAGTTGCCAATTTTGATAATTGGACGACATCAAAGATATATAACGGTAGGGCTAAACGGTGTTTATTAGGAGCGACTGAATGAAACAGAGGGAAAAATATCAAAATTTAAAGAAAACAAAACTGGCGCGCGAACAGAGAGTCCACGATTCGTGCTCGATGACAAATTAATACAATACTAATGAAATGAAATAAAATATATATAGGAATTCAGCGTTGGGTTTTGATCGCGCACTTGTGTTTCTGTGAAAAGAAGTCAGATTTTATTTTCAGTTGTATAATAATAGTTGAGCTATTATGATAACTTTTTTTGAAACAAATGATAATAAATGATAATAATAATTTAACTGCCATATTATGATTACAAGACAAATTATATTGATAATAGGTACGTATGTATAAATATTTTTTTTCTTTATTAACAATTAATGCAAATGTTTAAAATTTATTAATGTCCACAGCAAAAGTCAAAGTGTAATCTTTATCTCTATAGTTTATTATAGTTGTACATCAAAAAAAATATTACGGAAACTCAGAAGAATAAATATTTTTTAGTATACCTACATTAAAAACGTATTCACATAAATTATAACTTAACGTTGAGTTCCATTTGTCTTTTTTAAAAGCTTTTAATTTGTATTTTGTTATGTTTCGACTGTTTGTTTTTAAAAACAAGCTTGGAACTTATATTACTTGTATATACACGATGATAGTATAATAACATAATAAACAAACAAAAATAACTCGTGCTACTTTTATCCGGTAATTGTAATTTGTATTGCATACATCAGGGGTATCCAAATGGCAGCTCATGGAAGAACTTTATCTGGCCCGCAGACAAGAAATTCATTTTTTTTTTTATGTTGAATTAAATGGAGTTTTCATTAATTTGATTTGAATTTTTGATATTGCTTTTACTTTCTCTGGATAACATATAAACTAAAATTATTTTAAAGACCCACGAAAACTTCCTGAATTTCTAAAGTGGCCCTCCAAAAATATTAATGGTGGCCCACTGCCCCCCCCCCTTACATGCATAATATGATTATTATCTCGTTGAACATACGAATTAATCTTTTTTAAATTCAGTTATAAATAAATATACTAATTACCGTGCGTTTGTGAAGGTACTTCGCATAATAATACAATTTGCAAACGTCGTATGCTAATTTACGTGGTTTACCTGCTGCAGCCCCATGGCTGCTCGGGTAACCCAACAACGAGATGAATCATTTATGACTAAACCGTAATGACCATAAGTTGAGTTACAGCAATCTGATTACTCAACATAATTATAATATAAATTATTAATGATGTTGCGTGTTTAAAGAGAAAATTAAATTATTTAATATTTACAATACTGTTAGGTCTAATCCAGTTTAAGTTAAACCATATTACAACAACTCATGAATGTAAATTGACCATGTAACTACAAACGTCTCATACATTTTATATCCATTAGAGAATTTAGGGTTGAATATAACCCCGCATAAGCGAAAGCTATTATGACTGTGTAGTCGGAATTTAAATTTGGATAATTATTACTAAAACGCTATTAAAAATCATTAAGTGCTACAGTTTCCGTAGTCATTATTTTAAATAATATGCAAATAAAAAGTTTATATAAAAACCATCAAACTTTCAGCGTACACCAACGCATGAAAAAAAAATACATTGGTATATATATATATATTAACGATTTTTTATTTTGCTTACCTAATGATGTGTATTTGAAACTTAATAGTATTATATTATACATTATTAGATAGATTCATACACGGTTTTAAATAATTTAATTTCTAGTTATAAAATATATACCTAATGTATACTTATTACATATTACAATAGTACATTAAGTGTTCACGATAACATACTGCGTCAATTATAGTCAATGGTATGAAACAAGGATCGATTTTTTTTCAGATGGTGGAGGGGTGAAATGGTTGAAAAAATAATAGTTATGTTTCCTTATAAATAGTAGTAGGAGTATTTTCATTTTAAAAGCTATAAAAAGTTTAGACTGAAAAATTGACTCATTCTCCAATAACTTCAGCCAGCTGACGATTATTATATAAAATAAATGATAAAAAATTTCGTAGGAAATGATACCATGGTACGATGTGCACGATATAAAATCATAAGATTTTTGTATCTGTTAAGAAATCGTAACATGTTTTTACAGAACGAATAGATACGTATTTTTTTCATTTTATTTTGATTAGGTAAATATTTTTAAATGTTAGTTCCTTCTCCCCCCCCTGGCCTTCTCTCGTCAATAACCGTACCAGAGTTCCGCTAGGTATATTATGATGGCGTACCTACCTGTATGCAGTATGTAAATCGTATAACAACAATATCAGTTTATAAAAATTGATCCATTCATATTCACATAATAACAATAACAAATACCACTACAACAGTGGTACATAAAAGAATATTATTGGTAAGCGCCGTGTCTCGATATACCGTGTAGTCTGGTCACTCGTCGGCATCGGGGTCGGCCGGAGCTTCGGTTCCGTAGTCGTCTTCGGCGGCGGTGGCGGCGGAGAGACCGTAAGGCAATCCTAGGTCGACGATCCGGGGGAAGCTGATCTTGAGCACGTGGTCTTGGACTATGTCGCCGACCACGGCGTTGACGAGCACAGACAGCGACACGACGTTGTTGAGGCCGCGGGCGTCCAACAGCCGTTCGCTGATGGCCGGCGACCGGGATCTGACCGGCCGGGTCCGGACCGCGGTCACGAAGTCGCCGAGTAGCCGTATCCGGTCCAAGCGGTTCAGGGCGTCCAGGTACACGGCCGTCTTGCGCTGCACGCACGTGTAGCTCATGGCCCTCAGGCACGCCATCATGTCCGGCGCTTCCGGTCCGGCCGGCTCCGGGCCCGGCGCGATGCTGTCCGCCGGCGGTTTGGGGAACGCTAGCACGCGGATCGTCGATGCCTCGGCGAACGAAGAGATGGCCCAGTGCAACGCCACAAGCGCCGTCCACCCGCAAGCGGTTGCACTGCGCCGACGATGAAGATTCATATTGGTTCGTTTGCGCCGCTGACCGTCGAGTGACACGATCATGGCTTGCGCTCGACGGTTATAAGGCCGGTCGCACAACAATGCGGTGGAAAAAAATTGTCACGGCCCACTGCTGCAATAACCCAGCCGCCCGTTTCGCACTGCAACCGCGCTCTGCACTGCTTTGGCGTGCGAACCACCCGAGAGACAGCTTGCCTCGCGCGTCCTCAATAATATTATAATATTGTTACGAGGCACATAATATTATTATTATTATTATACCTACTCGTGGGCTATAATTGCGCATCGATTTTCGCCGTAAATCGACATCGCACTAAATTATAATATATAATAATTATACTACGCATGTGTATACGCATAATTATAGAAACGGAACGAATCGAACCGCGCCGCGACTTCCGGTTAGGTAGTCCGGTATATAGTTATAGGTGGCAAGTATAGCCTGCAATAAGTTCTGAGTTTGAGTGAAATTTCAATATTATAATAATTGGCAGTTGTTGTACACGCGTTGTGGGAAAGTTGGCCGCACCGTTTAAACTGCTCTACACTATAGGTACGTATAGAAAATACCTATTGTTATTCTATACTGTTATGATACCTATACAGTCGATGGGCTCCAAAAAATTGAGTTATCGACACTCGACTGTAAGACGTATTGAAGTGGCGTATTTAGGTTTTTGTCATGGGGGGGGATATGATTTAGCCCCGCTTTTAAAGCTAGAAGCCTTAAATGTTGCATATTATAATATACAGCCTATGGAGGGATTGATCCCCTTGATCTCCTCCCGTAAATACGCCACTGGTGGCCTGGTGTAGTGTGGTGGTTGGCCGCAATCACTAAAGTCTGTGCTGCGGTCAAGCATCATCCGGCGTCGCAGTCTCCCGGATGGGTGACCACCCGGGGGTTCTTTGTCAGGAATTATCCTTGTTCCACATATTCCGAGGGTCAAAAGAAAAGAAAACATTATACTTTCAATTGTATTCGTCTTTAACTATATAATATAAAATACGATTGTTAATTTTTAAATAATACCTAATTGTGTGTACACTACTTATAATTACTTTAATGGCGTATACGTATTTATAAATACGATTTCACTTAAGAATTGTCGAAGCAATTGATTATTATTGTCATAGGTACTTTGTCTAGAAAGAAGTAAAAAGGTTAATTTTATTTTCGACAAATTTCCAGTTGCAAATTATATATTGCACAGAAATCAAAACTTGTAGTAATTTACAGAGTTATGCGTATGTATTATAAATTAGCTAGGAACGTATTAAAATTGTTTGTGATAGTTTTAAGTTGTCGTATGTATATAATATAATACAGTTATTTAATATAAATAAAGTTTTGTACGTTGTGTAGGAATAATTATGACAGTCATTTGACACATTCTACAGTTTGAGAGTAAGTGGGTTTGAAAGAAAAGTGATATTGTCGTTCAGCAAGAGTGTAGTGTTTCATTAAATGTGTTTATTAAAACACATAATAATATGTAATATACAATTTTAAAATAAATCGCATGTCTAACATTTGAACTCGTCATGGACCGAAGGAATACCTACTTGTCATAAAGTGTTTGACGTAGCGTAACTACAGCGTTCATATAAGTCGTCGTATGGATTAGGTTCAGCTATATAATAATATGACGAGATGACAGAAATGAACACGAGGAAAATAAACTCATTTTCCATATGTGTTCAATTTCTCGTTTCTATGCGGAATGTAATATTAGTAATAGTAATATTACTCGAAGACAATAATAATTTATAATAATTGTACACCTTGCAAGAACGCTATTTAAATATAGTTACTAATATAATACTAATATAGGTACTGGTATTTATAATCAATGGTACTAGGTACTACTCTTGAGGGCAATGGGCATCAATAAATTTAGTTTTCATGTATTATGTTAAATAAAAAATAGATATCAATATTCCCATGAACGACTGCAGCACACGTGGTCGATTTAAATTTATTTTCCACATCCGTTCGTTACAACTCCTAAAAATAGTTGTAATTATTTTGACGATTATTATTAACAATTTTAGACAAAGTAAAAAAAAAATAATATTAATGTTTTTTAATACATATTACTATTATTTTATTAATAGAACTACTTTACTAGCGATTTAAATATTTACAAATTGTTTGGCTGCCATTTGAGCATTATATCATCAAAGTTGACAAGCCCATCAGCAAAATAAATGAGTAAAATGTTGAAAACCGTTTGTAGAAGTAGAAAAGGGCGGCGGTGCTTTAATGGCGTTTGGCCTATTAGCGTTTTAAGCAATAATATTCTCTCATATAGTAAACCATATACCGGGTAATTTATCAACCATAATGACTCACTCATTTTCTCCAACGATGCAGTTATTCAAAATCTGATTTTCGAAACGGCGTGTAAAATATATTTAAAGACTATAAATACCATATTTTTTTAATTCTTCGTATTTGTTTTACTACTGTATGGTGATACAAACTTATTTTTTCAAATGAGAACACCCCTTTTCAATTGTTTAAATTTGTGTATCAATGATTATTATAGGTCCACGATAATGGATTTGAGAGATTTGTGGGGCATTGTGATTTGAAAATTTTAGCGATTCATATTGATAATTTGTAAAAATTATCCAAGTGTAATGAATACTAGATCCAAGAGGCATTAAATATATTTCATATTTTTGTAGAACCATTTTTAAGGAATTTTATCGATAATATAAACATTTCAATAACTGAGGAACTACTAGTTCGAACTTATTGAATTGGACACACATTCGCTAAATATAATTTACAGTAGTTTGAAAACCAGAATACTCCTTATATTATCTAAGTAGAACGAAAAAAAATTAATAATTTTAAAATATGGTGTTATTTAAAAATTCCAAAAATCGGAATTCGAATAAACCATAGTGATATCGTTAAATGAAAAGAGTGAGCTTGCTTGGCGAATCATTTCGTATATTATATCACATTCTTATACATAATAACGCATAGGTATACTATTATATACACGCGTATAATAGTATTATGTGTCCACCTATATTTAAATAAAAAAACGCGAAACAGTAAAGGCGAACCCTGCAGCAGCAGCGAAGTCTGTGCGTTGTGCGAAATGACGAGGACGACACACAATATATTAATATTAAATGCAGGCGGGAGCTATCTGCTGAGTATAATTGGCGGTTATCCTCCCGTCTCGGATAAACGCTCTATACCGTATACGTTTTGAAAAGTTGCCACGGGTGGCCCGGAAAAACTAATCACTCGTCGCTAGTTAAACGCTAATGAAACGCGATATGAACAACACATGGGCCGCATTATTATAAATAGAGCCCTCCGCCGCTTCGCGTCCGACGGGGGAAAAAAATAATAATAATAAAAAAAAAAACAAACAAACAAAATTTAATACACCGCGAACATAATGTTGACGAACAAATGGACGCCACATTTCAATCCGTAACTGCTGTTTATTCAGCCAGCATTTTATCGCACGGCGAAGAGGTTATATTATTTTGTATTGTGTCCAAACGACGTCTCAATGTTTACCCCTCCCGCCCGCCCGCAACCGGCAGCACAATTTACGATCGGCCCATAAACATTATCTTACACCTAATAACTCGTAGTGCCCGGACGTCCACTTGGTGATATTACGTCGCTCGCCTCGCGATATTACCACGAGATGATAACGTATAAAAGTTTTATCATTTTTAAATTGGATTGTTCGATCGGTGGAGACTAAGAGGCTCGCGCGCTCGAAGAGATAAGAGTAAATTATTATAATATCGAGCGCACCGTTTCTATATACACGTCACTATATTATAAAGTATACATATCAATATGTTTCGTGTATGATTGTCGTACATAATAATATATTATAAGTGACTTGGTGGTGGCTGCATTCGGTCACGAAACTTGTCCTCAGAGCAAGCACCAGCCGGTGTCACCTGCAGTTCTCGGATGCCGGATGGGTGACCACCCGGGTTATAGTGACAAATCCTTACCAAACTTACACACACGTTTCGTACCCCCACTCCCCCTACAAACAGCTGATGGCCATAGTTGCTGAAATTAAGATCAATAAAAAATATACATAATATCTATATTATTATATTATATTATGCAGCGGTGTATACTATAATCTATCCTGATATTATAAATCTGAAGTTTGTTTGGTTGAACAAACTCAGTAACTTATCTCAGTAACTACCTGTTCGAATTTAAAAATTATTTTTATGTTTGATAGTCCATTCACCGAGGAAGGCTATAGGCTATATGACATCACGCTTCAAACAATAAGAGCCCGGGGAGGTGCCCAAACAGGGTTTTTGAGATTTACGATGGAAATGTTTGTTTATAAATGGTTGCTATTGGTCATACTAGAAATAATTAGTAGAAATAGTATTTATTTATTATTAGTTGTCATTGATTAATTGGGTATATTAAGTATACAAGCATGCACAAATCGAATTTTCTCACATTGCCTACCAAGGTGGCTTAGTTGCACTTACTGCAGCGAGTTACACTCAAAATAAGTTGGACAATTACAATTTTTTTAAGAGTTGTCATTTTTTACAGGCACTGAAGTGCCCGGGATCAGCTAGTATACCTATAGTATTATTTAAATATTTCATTATTCTAATGATGATGTTATTGTAAGGTCGTTGTACAGCGCTATATTGCGTTGCAGTCTGTTTGTTCGTCGTATATATAATATTGTTTAATGTTTTAATTGACGCCTTAACTGCTCTGGTAATATTTGTTCGAAAATTTCTCCTGCAACGGAAAACTAAATAATACCTATAATTGTCATCACGAGTCACGACAACAGTAATTACCTATTACTCGACTGCAGCGTACCTGAAAATTATTATACATAATATTATGCCATTGCCACTTGGTGAAATCGATATTTTAATAAAAAGTTAACTATCTAATAAAAACGGCTGGGAGAATTACAAAAATATTTCACGAAATGGTAGCTTAAATTTTACATCATATCTATTTTTCCACAGTGTGGTCATCCCACTTAGATATA